TTAGGTAAGTAAGAACCTTCCATTACATTTACCATGGAAGTTATTATATATCCAGTTTGGTAACATTCCAGTTTATTCTTTAAAGATTGACTTATAAACCAAATTAAGTCAGCATTATTAAGGAGTTTCCTACAAATTGCAGAATGCAACTGTGGATGTCTTTATTCTGTAAAGAAAGTAGCAAAGTTGTTGGGTTAAAACTGTTATACTGAGTTTAAGTGAAATTAGGTGTAGAAGGCAAGAGCCAGTCAGCTAACAGAAGTGTTGAATATGAGAAGAATTTAGTGGAGATTTAACAGAATGAGGAACATGAACAAAAGAGAGTCCTTAACTTTGTTGTTGTTGTTTGTATAACACGTCTGTAGCAGAACTGGCTGTAGTGTACAGAGGGAGCCTTTTGGCTATTGACTTTAGTGGTTGACTATAACAGCCTGTAAGTCTATGATGATTTATATTTTTGAGTTAAAATTTTTATAATTAAGGTGTCCAAAGGTGGAAGTTTTAAATAATTTTTTACAGATTTTATATCTTGTTTTCCTTCTGGGTCCCACTGAATTGGATCAGTTTAATTTGATTTTAATAAGACACAGAGGCTGGGCTATTAATTAAAAATTTGGAACCCAACTGTGACAATATTCAGTCAAAGTAGGAATCCTCTATGCTAGTTTGCTACGGCTTTCCTTGGTAGAGGAAAAGATGGGGTTTATCTGAGTTTTTTAGGGTTCATTAGTAGCCCATCTTTAGATATTAGATAACCAAAGTATATTACCTGGGATAAATAGTCAAAGCTTGATCTCTGATATTCAGGTCCTTTTATAGCTAGCTGTTGTAATATGTTTCTTTTGGAGGTCTAGTAATTTTTTAGAGTATAAAATTAAATCACCTACATATTGGATTAAAGTGAAATTTTTAGGAAATTTAATATTATTTAAATCAGCTTTTAGTATCTAAGACAACAGGTGGGACTTTTTGTATATTCTGGGGTATTCTAAGTAAATCTGTAGTAATCTTCCCAGTTGAAAGCAAAGAGGTATTGACTGTCTACTAGAATGCTGAAAAAAAGCATTATTTAAATTTATTACTGAAAAATATTGGCAGCATACAGGAATGGCTGGCTGATAAGGTAAGTGGATTTGGAACTGCAGAATGTCTGGGAATAACAAGCTTATTTATAGTTCTGAGATTTTGTATAAATTTTCTTTCTTTCTTCCTGGAAGGATGGGAAAATTATAGGGGCTTATACATAGAATTATAAGCCCCCTGTTTTTTACAGTAATTTTATTTTTTTCTAAACTATTATTAATAAGAAGGGGAAATGCCTTCTCATAATCCTGAGAGCAGCCCTATGCTTGTTTTTTTGTGTGTGTTTTTTAGTTCCATTTCAGCTATTTATAATCCTTAAGGTGAACAGACTTTTCTACAGGAGTTTTTTTGTGAATCTTATTAGTAATTCCGTTGCTTTTGTCTCCAGAAGTGAGTAGGTATATTAATTGGAATAGGTTAGAATAGTTTAGATTATATGTTTTAATAGTTAAGTTGCTTTGAGAGTTCATCAGGGTCCCATGGAAAATAATTTATCTGTGCTTCTCTGCGCAGCTTCTAATATTCAAATTAAGAGACGCTTTCCATTTATTTATCCAGCTTAATTTTAGAGCTGGCATTTTTCTTCCTTTTTTTACATGGAAAAAATTAATTTAGGCACCCAAAGACAACTGTATTTTGGCCATTTGAAGTTGATATTTTCTAGTTAAGTCTTCCCATTTTTGTAAAGCACTTGTAAGTAAAAGGCTTTTTTATCAGGAGTATTAATGAGGGCCACAGCGGGGGAGTTTCACGCCTTGGAGGAACAATTTTTCATGTTAATTTTAGCTTTGTATTTTTTTTATATTTTTCAAGTCTGAGTAAATCTTTTAGAGATGTTAAGTAGTGTGTTGGGGTTGAGTTCTAAAAGGCTTTCACCCCTCTAGCTGTTCAACCCTCTTAAGTGCCTCGGTTTCTCAAACAACTGTGAGGACTCGGAGTGTTAGGTGACTAACCATTATGTGCATGTCCCAGGATGAGTCAACTGTTTAATTATAGCTGAGTTGGAATTTCGCTGTGGAGCTTCTGCATGTCATGAGGAATGACCTCCACAAAGACTTTTAGTTGCTTATTAACACCAAAGATTCAGCTGGTGGGAGGATGTGTCCCTTGTCTTTGGAACTGAACAAGTTCAGCTCTCATTTATACAGCAAAGGTTTTTGTTCAGACTCTCAGAAAGCAATCCAACTGAGAAGCCAAAGTAAACACCAGCCACCCATTTTTTTCTCCTGTCTCATCTTAGCCTGGGTTCTATTAACCCTTAACTTTAGTTTTATTTTGAGGATTTAAAAATAGAGCTTAAAGTCAGAGCCTCTACCACAAGCAATGGAAAGTCCTGGATTCAAGAGACATTCACCCAAGTTCACCCAATGTGGGAGGAGCAGGCAGGCTCAATGGGCCCAGGTCCCACTCCGCAGGGTGGTCCTGGGTGGGCTTCTTTGGAATCCTGCTGACTACTCTAAGTAAATGTCAATGTAAGAAACATTCAAACCTGTGAAGAATTTTTGTGACTTTAGATGAGCCAAACTGTTGACAATGGCCAAGAAGCAAAATTTCAATGGACTGAGATAATGCTCCAGAGAATGGCATTTTGCAACTTATTTTATATATTACAATCAGAAGAGAAGGGGTAAGTGGGCTATCTGAAATCCACTGGTGATGGATTAGGGAGGCAGGAGAAAGTACAGCAGGGAAACCTCTGGGATTGGGTAAAAAATAAAACAATAGACACATATTTCTTTTATACAGGTGGGTATAGGATAGCTAACAGTCAGCAATTAACTCAATAACAATGAGAGGATTTGTGGTCTCCCTCTGGTGCAGCACCTGTGCCTCGAGGGTCTGGAAAAATGAAATTACTTAGGCATCCCAAAGGTATGCTATCATAGATGCAAAAAAGCCAACAGACAGGCTTAATTAAGGTAAAGTGACTTTTGTCAGGGAAGATTCTAGCCTAGGACATGACTACTTGTCATAAACTGCTTTCAGTAAGTTTTACTTTCAGACCATCCTTTAGGTCTCTGAGTTCCCAAGGCCTCCACGCAGGCCTCCCCGAGGCTGTCCTGTTTTTTCAGCCACAGCAATCTGAAGCCATATTCGTTCCACTGTGCTCACATGCATATTAAGAGACCTTAATACAGCTATGCTTTGCTGTAGGGTTCTATCATTAGGCCCCCGCCTCTGAAGCAATAACCAACTATTGAAGTATACAAGTTGAAGTTCAACAGTTACTGGAAATGAGTAAGTCTGTCAAAGCACTTGAATCAAACAAAAAACCTTCTGTTTTACGTTTGTTTTTTTAGAATAACATCATGAATGTCTCTAAGTGAACATGTAGTATGCTAACTCAACTTCAAGGTGTAACACAGTTGGTTTTATTTTGCAGAATGAGACTAAAACACATTTTATTAACCAGTCCACAAGACAAAAGATCTATGGATTAACTTCTGTAAGACTCTACTGTAAGGATAAACTTACCTTATGCTTTTTATCAATGCTCTCTCTCTCATGCATTTAGTTTTTCTTTTTAACTACACTGGTGCTTAAACAGCCACATGGAGATTCTTGATAATATTCCTTTGTCTTCAATGAGTATTAAAAATTTCTTGTTTCAACTTTTAAACTGCCTTGTTTTACTTATGTTTTCATAAACATTCTGAAATTATTTTTGAAAACAGGCAAATAATAAAATAGTATTCATTACAATTGATGCTGTTCAAAGCTGGGAATTCAGCAAATTCTTATGGCTGAATTCAGGAAATTATTAGGGCATAACTTCAGCACAAAGTAAAATTATGCACAAATTTATATGATCTAAGCTAGCAGGGCAAATTACATGCTATACTCATATATTTGACTATAAAGTGGAACTGGGGTAAAACGTTGTATTTTACTATTTTATTTAAAATTAGGGATAGGGTTAATTAAGTTAAGAGGTTGAGAACTCATAAAGTCGGGGCCAGGACCTGGAGATTATTATTAAGCTAAGCGAAATAAGCCAATTAGAGAAAGAAAAATATCACATGATCTCACTTATTTGTGGAATCTAATGAACCAAATTAACTGATGAACAAAATAGGTCCAGAGCCATGGACACATGGAACAGACTGACGGATCTCAGAGGAAGAGGGCTGGGGGAGATGGGAAGAGATGAACCAAAGAACATATATGCAGAGCCCAGGGACACAGACAGTAGCATGGGGAAGGCCTGGGTGAGCAGGGGCTGGGTGGAGAACGGGGGAAAATGGAGGACATCTGTAATGCTGCCAACAATTACTTTTTTATTGTTTTTATTTTTTAATCCTCACCCGAGGATATTTTTTCCACTGCTTTTTCAGAGAGTGGAAGGGAGAAAGAGAGAGAGAGACACACCAATTGGTTGCCTTCCACATGCGCCCGACCGGGGCTGGGGCTGGAGCCTGCAACCGAGGTACCTGCCCTTGGCCGGAATCAAACCCAGGACCCTTCAGTCCGCAGGCCGATGCTCTAGCCACTGAGCCAAACTGGCCAGGGTGATACTGTCAACAATTAAGAAAAAAAAGAGTTGTGGCTAAACTATCAGCCTTGCCAAAAGTCTATATACTAAATCTTGATGCTTTCTTCTTCCTTGATCTAAAAGTAGTTTTCAGTTTTATTCTGTTGATAGGTAGAGAAATCAAAAGTCCACAAAATTAAACCCTTTATAAACTGCAGTGTACATGTTAATAAAAACAAAGTATTTCTTTTACCAGTAAATCATTTTATGTCTTACTAATTTGGATTATATTTTACTTTGACTTTGATAATCCAGCTAAAAATTTAAAATTAGGTCTCCAAAACAAATAGTAATTGCTTTCCTAAATCCCATTTAAACTTTCATAGTTAAACTACTAAGGATTCTCGGCTTCACTCACAATGAACCATACAAAAATTATTCTTACCTTTACACCTTGAATGAGACCATTCATGAGGAATATGTGTTGGGGAAATGTTTCATGTAGAACCTACAAAAGGCAAACAAACATCAAAACAAATTCAAAAGCAAATTAAAGGGAAAGATTTCTGCTTCTGTTAATGGCAGGCTAGGTGAGTTGGATGGAACCATGTAATGAAAAAACTTTAAGCATAGATGAAATATGAAAAATACCTAAAAGTATGAAAAGTTAACAAGACAATGAGGAAGAAACCTAAATAAGGCCAGAACCTAAAAAGGCACTCCAGTCACTTGACTGATCATACCTCAACGTAATAAAAGCCATATATGAAAAACTTACAGGCAATATCATACTCGCCAAAACTAAAACCATTTCCTTTAAAATCAGTTTAAGACAGGGATGTCCACTTTCACCACTCTTATGCAACATAGTACTGGGAGTCCTAGCCACAGTGATCAGACAGGAAGAAATAAAAGGCATCCAAATTGGAAAGGAGAAAGTAAAATTGTCATTATTTGCAGATGACATGATACTGTACATAGAAACACTAAAGACTCCACTAAAAAACTGCTAGATCTAATAAGTGAATTTGGCAAACTAGCTGGATACAAAATTAATATCCAAACTCAGCGGCATTTTCATGTACCAATAACAAAACCTCAGATACAGAAACCAAGAAAACTACCTAAATAAGGTATCTAGGAATAAACTTAACCAAGGAGGTAAAAGGCTTGTACTAGGAAAACTACAGGACACTGAAGAAAGAGAGAGAGAAAGATGCAAACAAGGGGAAGCATATATCATATCCATGGATTGGAAGAACATCATTAAAATGTGCACACTACCCAAAGCAATCTACAAATTCAACACAATTCCTACTAAAATACCAATGGCATATATCACAGATCTAGAACAAATATTCTAAAAATTAATATGGAAGCACAAAAGACCCTGAATAGCCTCAGCAATCTTGAGAAAGAAGAATAAAGTTGGAGGGATCACAGTAACAGATATCAAATTGTACTACAAAGCCCCTGTAATCATAACAGCCTGGTACTGGCACAACACAGGCATATAGACCAATGGAGCAGGACAGAGAGCCCAGAAGGCAAGCCACGCCTTTTTGTTCGTTTGTTTTTGTTTAGCCTCACCCGAGGATATTTTTTCCCCATTGCTTCTCAGAGAGAGTGGAAGGGAGGGAGGAAGGAAGGGAGGGGGAGAGATGGACACACACAAAAGAACTGGCTGCCTCCAGCACGTGCCCCAAATGGGGGCAGGGAGTGAACCTACAACCCAGGTACATGCTCTTGGCCAGGAATCAAACCTGCAACCCTGAGGTGCATGGGCCGATGCTCCAACCGCTAAACCACGCTGGCCAGGGCAACCCATGCCTTTATGATCAATATTTAACAAAGAAGGCAAGAGCATTCAATAGAGTAAAAATAGTCTCTTCAATAAAAGGTGCTGGGAAAATTCGGTACATGTAAAAAAATGAAACTAGTCCACCAACTTACACTATACACAAGAATAAACTCAAAATGGATAAAAGACTTCTATGTAAGTCGCAAAGCCATAAATATCCTAGAAGAAAACAGGAAGTAAAATCTCAGACATCTCTCAGAGCAGTATTTTTGCAGATATGTCTCCAAGGGCAAGAGAAACATGAGAAAAATGAAACTAAACATCAAACTAAAAAGCTTCTGCACAGCAAAAGAAACCATCAACAAAACAGAAAGGGATCCTACCATATGGGAGATAGTATTCATCAATGGCTGATCTGATAAGGGGTGATCTCCAAATAAAGGATGGGGCGAAAGTAAATTTACACTTGTGAGTATGCGACACACAGTTTATTCTTGTATTATTATTATTCGTTGTATTATTTTCCAAATGAACAAGTGTAAACCTACTTCTGCCCTACCCAACACCAGGAAGACAAACAATCCAATTAAAAAATGGGCAAAGAAACTGAACAGACACTTCTCCAAAGAGGACATCCAGATGCCAAGAGACATATGAAAATATGCTCAACCACTAGTCATCAAAGAGATGCAAATTAAAACCACAATGAGGTATCACCTCACACCTGTCAGAATGGCTCCATCAACAAATCAACACACGACATGTGCTGGTGAGGGCGTGGAGAAAGGGGAGCCCTGGTGAACTGCTGTGGGAATGGAAACGGGTGCAGCCACTGTGGAAAACAGTATGGAATTTCCTCAAAAAATTAAAAATGAAACTGCTGTTTGATGCAGCAATCCCACTTCTAGGAATATATCCTAAGAATCCTGAAGCACCAATCAGAAAGAATATATGCACCCCTATGTTCAGACCAGTGTTATTTACAATACCCAAGATCTGGAAATTGCCCAAGTGTCCATCAGTGGATGAGCAGATAAAAAAGCTGTGGGACATTTGCACAATAGAATACTACGCAGCTGTAGTAAAAAGCATGGATGGACCTGGAGAGCACTATGCTAACTGAAATAAGCAAGTCAGAGAAAGACAAATACCGTATGATCTCACTTATATGTGGAATCTAATGATCAAAGTAAACTGATGAAAAAAAAAGAACCAGAGGCATGGATACATAGACTAGACTGAGAAATGTCAGAGGAGAGAGGGGTGGGAGTGACTGGAGAAGGGTAGGTGAAGGGATTAGCTAAAGAACATGTATGCAGAGCCCATGAACATAGACAATGGCATGGTAAGGGCATAGGCAGGAAAAGGAGGGGGTGGGTGGAGGTGGGCAATGGGCAGTATAGGGAGACATCTGCAATGGTGTCAACAATATAAAATTTAAATAAAAAAAGAAATACAAATCAATATTAGAACTGTTTATTTGTCACACACCTCAAAAAAAGGGGGTGAAACTTAAAAACACGGCAGTATATATACTTTAAAATATGTTTTCATAGATTTCAGAGAGGAGAGAGCATCTGTAAAGAAAACAGCAATATCCTACTCAAACTATTTATGATAGGTTCAAAAAAATTAAAGATATAAATAACTGAACTACAAAAGACAATAACTTACCATAATAAAGTAACCCTAATTATAAAAAGTATATTAAATATCTCAGATAAGATCAAAGTGTTAAGTGGGCCAGGTACAGAAACCTAGGTACAGAAGCTAGGGTACGGGGACTCACCAGGGCAGGAAGCCCCAGGTGCCTAGCGCGGCGAAACTGAGGAAACAAGAACCTTGTGCCCAGGGTAACCTTCCTCCCCCCGCACATCACTGGTCATTTGGTTTACACCCCCTCAGAGTTTCCTCCCTAAAGATAACATCCAGGCCTCAGTTGTATTTCAGAGCCAGGCCTAGATAAGCAGCAAAATCAGACAAGTGGTGCCATGGCTGCCTCAGGACCAGATACCTTGACTAATGACCCTGCCATGGCATCAGCCAATCAGTGGAGACCACAATCCTGAAAGAACTCACCTGGCGAGCTGATGAATATTCTATTGAGACCCTCCCCTGAGCCCTCCCCTAAGTTTTCCACTGGCAAGAAAGAGAGAAACAGGCTCAAGACAAAGGACCCAGAGCTTACTCCCCACCAGGGGAGCATGCCAGCACCATCTCCATCTCTCCGAGGAGACCCCATAAGACTGCAAACAGGGGAGCAATGGGCAGCCCCAGCTCCTTCCAGGCTTACTCCCTGAATCTGTATCCAAGGTCCTTAAACCAGTGTCCAAGGCCCCCTTCTCTCCCTGACTTCTCAGTGGCCAGAGCAGCCCAGCCTGGGCTCCCCTGTTGCTGCTTCTACGCCCTTCCTCGTCTCAAAGTCCCAAGTGTACTTTTGCTGCCATCATGGACCCAAAACCCTTGGCCTCAGTGCTGTGTAGCCCTTCCCTTTGGATACCCATCCCCTTTTAATAAATTCAGTTTTTCTTTATTCACCATCTGAGGTGGCTATTTAGCCTGCCTGCTCACCACCACCACAGACCCTTAGCCTTTCATGAAGTTTTCATTTTTAACATCCTTCTATATAAAAACAACTCAAGGAGCCCTGGCTGATGTGGCTGAGCATCATCCTGTGCACTGAGATGTCTCTGGTTCAATTCCTTGTCAGAGCACATATCTGAGTTATGGGTTCCATCCACAGTAGGGGGTGTGCAGAAGGCAGCCGATGGATTTATCAATGTTCCTCTCTTCCTCTCCCTTCCTCTCTCTCTTAAGTCACTTAAAACATATATATTTTTTAAAAACTCAAGGAAGCCCTAGCTAGTTTGGCTCAGTGGTTATAGAGTGTCAGCGTGAGCACGGAAGAGTCACGAGTTCAATTCCTGGTCAAGGGCACATACCTGGGTTGCAGGTTCGATCTCTGGCCCGGGTTGGGGCTTGTCTGGGAGGCAACCAATTTACACATCAATGTGTTTCTCTCACGTCAATGTTTCTGTCTCACCCTCCCTCCCTTCTGCTCTAAAAACCAGTAGAAAAAATCCTCCGGTGAGGATTAACAACAACAAAAAGCTGCTGACCTATATACTGGTCCCCAAGGTAACAATCGCAAGCATAGTTATCTGAAGTGGGATTTCTAAGTGGAATACTTGAAGAACTGAACGGCATGAGATTCCGAAAGGATAGTCCACCAGGTCACTCATTCATAGCTGCCAATGGCATGAAGCCCTACAATCACATGATAATTATTTTAGTACTACAGAAGAAATCCCAGATGGCCAAACTTTCATAAATCAAGAGCTCCTATAAAAAGCGCTTGGGCCTGGCCAGGTGTGGCTCAGTGGTTGAGCATCAACCTAGGATCCAGGAGATTGTGGTTCGATTCCCAGTCCAGTTGGGGCATGCAGGAGGCAGCCGATCAATGACGACTCTCTCATCATTGATGTTTCAACTCTCTCTCTCCCTCTTCCTTCCCCTCTCTCTGAAATCAATAAAGATATATTTAAAAAAAAAAAAAAAAAAAAAACT